GCAAATCTACCCTCTACTCTGGAGGGAGACACTATCTCTGTCTTCCAAAGCTTTGTTATGCAACCATATCTTACAATCCAGAACCTATGAGAAAAGCTAAAATTAAAAAGGGAAAAAGAAAATAACAGCAATATGAAGGATATGGAGAGATTGGAACTCATACTTCTAGGAATGTAAAATGACACTTTGAAAAATAGTTGGAATTTTTTTTAAAAAATGAAATAAATACCAAATATATGGCTCGGCAGTCCATCTCTCAAGTATTTACCTTGTTAGATGCAGTCGACTCAAGTATGACTCATAAAAACACTATGAACAAGAAATCAGAATCCTGTACTATCCTGTGCCATCCTCACATTTCCTGACACACAAGAGCCCACTGCAGCAGTCACCATGTCAATCCACCTCGTTGAGGATCTTTGTCTCCTTTGCTGACCCTCCACCCTTCCTAGCATCATTCTTTCCTCCAAAGAACATTCTGGCTGCTCCCTCTCCAAGACATATTTGTTCTTTTGACTGTCCACAGGATGTTCAATGCTGTTCTCTAACACCATAGCTCAAAGACTTTAATTCTTTTTTTCTGTCATCCATATGCATTGTCCAGCTCTCAGATGCATAGCAAGTGATTGGAAAGACTACAACCTGAATCAGATGCATCTTGGTCCTCAAACTGGCATCATTGTTGTGGTTGTTGTTGTTAGGTGTTATCAAGTCAAGCATGACTAAAAAGGACCCTATGAACAAAAGATCTGAACCCTGTCCTATCCTGCACCATTCTCACACTTCCTGACATGCAAGAGCCCACTGCAACAGTCACCATATCAATCCACCTGGTTGAGGGTCTTCCTCTCTTTCACCAACCCTTCACCCTTCCCAACATCATGTCCTTCTCCAAGGAATAGTAACTCCTAGCAACATGTCCAAGGTCTGGGAAGTGAAGCTTCATCATTCTTGCCTCCAAAGAGCATTCCAGCTACACCCTCTCCAAGACATATCTGTTCTCTTGGTTGTCCATGGGATGTTCAGTGCTCTTCTCCAACACAACAGCTCAAAGGCATCAATTATTTTGCTGTCATCCTTATTCACTATCAAGCTCTCTGATGCACAGCTAGTAATCAGAAAGACTATAGCCTAATTCAGATGCACTTTGGTCCTCAGACATCATTACTCCTCAATAATTTGGAGCACTCCCTAACTGCAGACTTTCCCAGTGCAATGTGTCTCCTTATTTACTGACTGCTGCTACCAAGGCTGTTAATTACGGAACCAAGCAAGATGAAGCTGTTGACAGGTTCAATCTCCTCTCCATCCACCATGATGTTGCCTATTAGTCTAGTGGTAAGAATCTTTGTTTTCTGGACATTGAGATGTAATCCATCCAGAAGACTACATTCCTTTATGTTCTGCAACAAGTGCTTCAAATCCTCTTCACTTTCAACAAGCAAGGTTGTATCATCTGCATAATACTGGTTATTGATGAGTCTCCCTCCAAATTGATACCACACTCCTCTTCATAGAGTACAGCTTCTCAATAATTTTTCTAGCATACTGACTGAATAGGTATGGAGAGAGAATACAACCGTGACACACTCCCTTCTCAATTTTAAACCATGCCGTGTTCCCCTGCTCTGTTCTCACAATAGCCTCCTGGTACAAGCATAGATTCTGCATGAGCACAATTAAATGCTCTGGGATTTCCCTTCTTCTCAATGTCAGTCATAACTTGACATGATCCTCACAGTCAAATTCCTTTATATAGTCAGTAAAGCACAAATAGACATTCTTCTGGTATTCTTTATTTTCAACCAGGATCCATCTGACATCAGCAATAAATCTCTGGTACAATGCCACCTTCTAAATCCTGCTCAAACTTCTGTCAGTTCTCTATCTATGTACTGTTCTAACTGGTTTTGAATTATCATCAGTAGTATTTTGCTTGCATGTGATATTAATGATATTGTTAGTTTCCACATTCAGTAGGATCACCTTTCTTGGGAATGGGGAAAAATATGAACCTCTTTCAATCCATTGGCCATACAGCTGTGCTGTTCTCCAAAATTAAGCTTACTTGCTTTCTCTTTCTCTTCTCTCTCTTTCCTCCCTCTCTATCGCCTCTTTTCCCCCTCCCATACTCCCCTCTCCCTCCCCCATCTGATCCACAAACACTCTAAGACAGAATAGATATTTATAAAGGCAGAACAAGAACCACCTGATGTCAGGCTGGAAACTAAGGTGCACCTGACCCAGGCTATAGTCTTCACAATTACGTGCTATGCATCAAAGAGTTGGACCGTGAATAGGGATGATAGAGAACTGATGCCTTTGAGTTGTGGTACTGGAGAAGAGTGTTGAATATACCATGGACTGCTAGGAGAACAAACAGGTTCGTCCTGGAAAGGGTGAAGCCAGAATACTCCTTGGAGTCAAGGATTCTGAAGCTTCATCTGACATACTTTGGGCATGTTGCAAGGAGGGACATCCTTCGAGAGGGACATCATGTTTGACAGGGTGGAGGGGCGGAGAAGGAGAGGAAGACCTTCCATAGGATGGATTGATTCTGTGACTGGAGTGTTGGGAATGAATACGTTTGAGATGGCTAGGTTGGCACAGGATAGAAGTGCGTTTAGAGCTCTTGTACATAGGTTTGCTATGAGTCGCAAGCAACTTGATGGCACATAACAACAACAACAGCAAAAGCCATCTGGGGTCGGGGCGGGGCAGGGAGGAACATGTGCAACAATGAAGGATTGTAAACCCAATTCGTTTATAACCTTTCATTAAAATCTCAATAAAAAAATATTTTTTTAAATGAGAGAGGTGGGGGATGTTTGTGTGTGTGTGTGTGTGTGTGTGTGTCTCTAAGTAAGCTCTAGACTTTGTCTGAGCTCAACCTCTTTCTAAATGTGTGATCTTAAATTCTCTAATTTCAATTCAATTTTCTCAACTGCAAAGTAATAACAGCATCTATCTCCCAGTGTTGTTAACTTTCTTTGTTGTTCCATCATTAATATCTGATGCCTTACAAGATAGCTAACATTGTGTTTGATGTTAAGGACCCAGAGAAGAATCTAACATAGTTCCTATATTGTTACCATGAACTGCCACCAAATCAATCCTAACTCATAGATACCCTCATACAATGGAACCGAACACTACCCAGTCCTACACCACACTCAGTCACTATCACGTTTGCACTCACAGTTGCAGCCACTGGGCCAGGCCACTGTTTTGAAAGTCTTCCTCTGTCTTACTGATCCTCTACTCTAACAAGCCTGGTGTGCTTCTCTAGTGATTGCTCTATTCTCAAAATACGTCCAAAGTGCATGAAAGCAAGTCTCACTATCCTCACTCCTAAAGAGCATTCTGGCTGTATCTTTCCCAAGACAGAGTCTTCAGACAGTTCATGGTACATTCATTCCTCAACAACATCACAATTCAAAAGCATCAAGTATTCTTCAGTTTCCCTTATTCATTGTCCAGCTTTCTCCTGCATATGAGGCTATTGAAAATACTACAACTCGAGGCAGGAACTTTAGTCTTCAAAGAGACATCTTTGCTTTTTATCACTTCAAAGAAGTCTTTTGAAGCAGATTTTCCCTATACAATATGTTGCTTGATTTCTTGACAGTTGTTTCTGTGGGAATTGACTGTGAATCTAAATAAAGTTAAATTCTTGATAAATTCCAATATTCTCCCCATTGATCATGATCCCCACTTTCTATAAGGCTACAACAGCTAAATAAACATCTTCCAAATGGACAAATGGACGCAACTGTTTTACTTCCATTAGATTATCACAATTACAAAATGCCAATATTAAGCATCTATTAAGCAAAACTAAAATTATTGAACATAATTAAACTTTTGAAAACAGTTTCTATAACAACAGTAGAAATGTAAAGTCAAATGTACAAAATTCTATTGCTAATTCATATCTATCTAGAATTATTTCAGAAGTCTCAAAATCACATTTCTTTATAGTTTATCAGATTCAGAAAGAATATCCAGTTACTTCAGTTTTAACTCATTTATTTTAGCATTTTAATGTTATTTTAATTTGAATAAGAATATCAAGGAATAGTCCTAAGAATAATTTGAAATAATGTATCCTCTAAGAGAAAACTTAGAGGAATCCCTGAAAACCCTGATGTATTTCAGAGAGGTCAGGTTTCTCTAAGAAAAAGGAAACTCATGATTTCACCTTTATAGTCCTTGAGTTGAGTTGTGTATGCATTATTACTACACATCACATGTAAACACTCAATCTTCTCTGCGTACCCTGAGAATAAAGGTTTATTCTCAACCAGGTAGAATGCTCTTACTTCAAGTTTAGAAGCAATGATAAATTCATATCCTAACACAGTACAGCTACATTTACAGTTCAAACATTTTTATCACCTTTAATATATGTGTACTGAGACCCTCCTATAGTCTCAGAAAAGGTCTGTGGGGAGTTTCAGGTTTTTAAAAAAATTTTCTCAATGTGTCATTCCCATTCAACGCTAAAAGAAAATCAAGCTATTCTTATTTAAAGCTTTCCAATCTACTGTCATCCCACATCACATCTCAGCGAAACACTGTGAAAAAATGTTCTTGGAGTGTTATCAACTAAAAATTCTGCAACAAGTATGGCTTTTGCACAGGATTTCACACTGAATAATATAGTAACACCTAGAGATTCCTAGCCCAGAGGAGAAAAAAAGAAAGAAAACATTTAAAAAAACTATTTTTAAAAAGCATGACACGTGTACCAGGAGATTCTCAAACAGAATCCAAAGATTCGTTTTCATCAGTTCATGTTCTTGATAATATTGTTTGGAATCTTAAGCCCACAAAAATGGTGGGTCTTCTAAAGTTTTATATATTGAAAATACTTCCAAAGATTGCACTATGTTGAAAGCTGTGTAAAGAAATTCAAATTATAATTAAAACAAATCAAAATGAATTAGTAGAAAGACTCTTTGGAACAACTCAGAAAAAGTGATTGTTCACTAGCTTACCTTGTTTTTGTCCATTAATATTTTCTAAAGTACCAGCCAGCTCACTGTCAAGGCCGTGTTGAAAGCCACTGCTTTGTTTTTCAAGGTGAAGTTCTTCCTCAGCAATAGAAGAGAGCACATGTAATGATTTGTGGTCATCAAGAGTCTGATTAGGCCACTGGGAAACTATGGAGCATGAATCCTTTGCATGTTGGCCAATGCTGGGGCTTGAACTTTGGGTAGAGTCCTGCAAATCACTATTGCAACATGAGAAATGATCCACTTCAAGAAACAGGGAATTTGTATCCTCTTGACTCCAATCATTGCCTTGTTCTTCATCTTCAAAGTAAGTTTCCTGAATCTCATCTAGGTCCTGATCACTCAGTTTAGAGTCTTGTTTGCTTAAATTAACTAGTGAAGCCGACAATGTATTGCTCGCTTGCTGGAGAGCTTCATAAACCCGGGACATCCAGGAAGATAAAGGCTGGAAGAAGTTTGGGGCATCCTGAGACGCCATGGCCAACACCATGGCCAGCTAGCTGATGGCTACAAAGTCCACTTCTCAGTCCCTGCTGAACTCTGGACTTATGTGAACTACAGAATAAGCATGATGAAAAATGAAATTGGTGGTCTCTTAATGGCTGTGAATAGTTCACTCTCAAAACTTCTCAGCTGAAACAGAGGAAAAAATTACTTACACCTGTTAAAGTTACAACCTCAGCCCCATTACCAAGTACCTACAATCAAATTTAAACAGCTTCTGTGGACAAAAAGAAATCATCACTGACATATTAATACAGCTAAATAAAAATGATTTTGTGAAAGTCTAAATGTAGATTATTATTTCAATGCCTATTCACCACCTCAGGCATCTGCAAAACTTCCATTAGCAGTAATGGGCTCTATTCATGTGGACTGAGAGAAGTGTATCCCCCACAGACCATACTTAACAGTGTGAAAAGGATAAATGAATCTTCATTAAAAGGCAGTTGGGCATGACATTTCAAAATACAAGAAAGGCTGGATGCTCCATCTACGAGCCTGCGGATCCCAGAGAGCAGACTAATAAGCATCTTTGCCTCATGACACAAAGATTTATTCTTTCAAAAGAAATAGGTGCCTGGAATTAAGCTTTTAACAAATCTTTAAATAGGATTTCACATTTTATGCAATTTCTAGAAATTTTATCTATTGTTGAAGAACGAGAATAATCACTGAAAAAAAAAATGAGGGTGGCAAGTAGAACAGCCATCTTCCTGGAGACATGTCCCTAGTATCTTATTGTCTTTGTCTCTGTTCCAATTTCCCAAGGATAGCCCTCCACAAGCCGTGAGACTCCTGAGAGAGATTTTTTGCACTGGATGAACCAGTTATGCTATCATCAGAACAGGACAATATGAATATCCTAGGAAAAATGCATAAATATACAAGTATATATGTATATATGTGTGTGCATATATTATTACATATATTATTTCACTGAATGTTCACAACTCTTCCATGAAGTTAGTAGGCAAATAGTATTATCATCAAAGGATATGGAAGCAGAAGATTTTCTAAAAATCTTACATTTTATTAGTGGGATTTGAGCCAGAATTATAAATACAGATCTCCTTTTCCCTTCCATGAGGTATTTTTTTCCACTTAGTCACAAAGATGAGTTTCTAGTCAATTTATGGGCATCTGGCACATATGTTAGATACTGCCAACATTTCTCAGTTTAAACACAAGTGTTTATCAGAACCAAAGTTATTTAATATGTAAGATTTATACCCAATTTTTTTTATTGGTGTGCTTACAACATTTGTATATACATTGTGTTTGGGGCAAGGTCCAATGGTGATTAATTTTATAAATTTTTATAAATTTTATAAATCATAATGCATGCGAATGACTGTATGAAACACAAAGTGAATGAAGAATAGTGTTGTACACCCAGCTTTTGATGGATGTTGAGTAACAAATACTTGTTTCCTTCTAAAATTTTTTCTTTAGCTTCTTTGATTACCATTCATGCATTTATTCTTTCAGTAAACGAATATTGATTAAACATCTAATAAGTGTTGGGCACAATGCAGAGAAGGTCTCTGTCCCAGGGAGTCCACATTTCTGTTGAAGGGAAACTGGGATCTCCACATTTCCTCCTCTTATGTTGAATAATCTCATGCATCACTCAGGCTCTTCATTAACTCTTCACCAACTCTGTAGTAAACTATTCATTGTCTTATGGCTTCCTTTCTTTCTCCTTATACTCACCAACTAGGAGAGCTGACCCATATATATCTGCTTCCAACACCACCTCTTTCTTGTTGCTGTTGTTATATACCATCAAGTCAGAGCTGACCCACATCTGACCCCCCAGTTGGTTTTCAGAGGCAGAAAATTACATGCAAAGAGATTGCCCATCTTTCTCCCTTGGAGCAACTGGGGGATTCAAACCATGTACCTCTCAGATGGCAGCACAACTCCTTATCCATTAAGCCACCAGAGCCCCCTTTTTAGTAATTAAAAAAATACATATCTCCAGTCCTTAGCCAAACCTCTCTTTATAGACATGGACTTCTGTTTTCTAAATTAGCGATTCTCAAAAACCATGATTAGTTACCATCAACTCAACCTTTCAACCATTTACATCACCCAGGCATCTTTTCAAAGATGAGCATGTTAGTATCATCTGTTGAGCTGATACAGAATACAAAGTTTCAGGCTGGTTGAAGGAATAAGATACAGCTTAGATCTTTGCAATTTCTTTCTTTTTTTGAGTCAAAGTTTACAGAGCATAGTAGTTTATTCAACAATTCAGATACATTTTACTTTATGACATTAATTATGATACCCACATTGTAACTATATTCTTCCTGATTCTTTGCTGTCCCATTTCCAGTAATAATAAACTACACTTTTCAATCTGCTGAGCTTTTTCACTAGACAAATGCTACACTTTGGCTCCTGTGTGGTTAATTGATCTAATATGGCATGAGTACCTCCTTGGTCTTATTGTCACTTACAGGCCTGTCTATTGTTTGGAGCCTCAGGTCTGAGTTTAGCTCCAGACTCAAAGGATGACTAACACTCATAGTCATGACTGTTTGTTTTTTTGTCAAGTTCCCTGTACAATTATAACACCCAACAAAATTTGATGAATATTGATCCCTAGATATAGCTCCTCTTAGAAGTCTCACAAACATCTCAAACTCAGCTCATCAAAGCATCGTACATTACTTTTGCTACAAGTGTCCGGCACTTTTCCTCACATTCTAGTGAGCACCAGCTTTCCTCTCCTCCACATTCCCTCTCTGTAGGCTGCCCCGTTCTAAGTTCTGCTGGTATTTGATCTATAAAAACCCTCTTTCATTATGTTTGAATACTATCCCTCAAACATACATTCATTTATGTAAAAAATTGTTTTAGCCTCAGGTTGTTCCCAGCCTCAATCCCTCTCTCTGTCTTTGACACTAACGTGACATTTCATCAATTTACAGACTGCCTCTTTTCCTAAAATGGAAGCTTCATGGAGGGCAGTGATTATCTGCCTTGTTCTATCTTATCCTAGTGCCTAGAATTGTGCCTAGCATATAGCAAATTCACAATAAATGAGTGAATGAATCGAATTTTTAAAAGTCATGCACAAAACTAATATTCACTACAACACATACTAATGAATAAAACTTACTCAAAAAGGTAGAAAAGATCTTAAATAGTTATCACAAAATTACTCTGCTTAGTAACAGTAAAGCATCTTCCAGAATTTAATCCACCCCATTTTACAGCCCACACTGTGTGTGTATGTAGGTTGGGTTTTTCCTCCTCCACTAACACTTTGTTTAAATTAATATGCTTCAAAGCATCAAAGACCTGGGAGACTTTCTGAGAGATCATTCAGCTGAGCTTTCATTGCTAGCCTATAAAGTGGTGCAGTGGTTAAGCATTTGGCTGCTAACCAAAAGGTTGATAGTGAGAACCCACAAATCTCCCCTTGAGAGAAAGAGGTTTCAGCCTGTTTCCTCAAAAGGTTACAGCCTTGAAAACCCTGTAGGAAAATTCTACTATGTACTAGAGATTATAAGTTGGCATGAGTTCAATGACACATAACATTATTATTCTCCATTACCATTTTTGTACTTGAAACTTTTTAAAGACAGAAATGACATAGCTTCCTTAATGATCCCTTACACTCTCTTAGTATATAAATAAAATTTGTTTCATATGCAAATAAAAATCTCTGATTTTGATCATTTAGATGAGCATATGTGGTGTTAAAACTTGGTTTTTCCAGCCACTGCTGGTCTCCAACTACCTTAACTGTGAATACATACTCTTACAAGTTATCAATAATAGCTGTAAGAGGTAGGATAAGAAAGACAGTGCATCCCACACTGAGCAGCCAGACTTGAGGGACACTAAGTGAGATCTGGTGAGAGTGAGATGGAGTGAGACCCTGATGAGAGTGAGACCTGGGCAACAAAGGTGGTGGAGCCACTGTGGCATTGCCGTGGATAGTCTATGGCAAGGTGTAACCCAAGGCTTCTTGCATTTGTTCTGGCCACAGGTAAAGATTTTGCTTGCTAAATAATTGAAGGAGAAGGTAACTTATAACTGCTCTGAGGCAAACCTTGCAGGAACTTTGCAGGTTTTGTTGCTGAACTGAAACCAGGACTTTTACTAATTAAGGAATTGTGTTTTGATATTAATCTGTCTTGGAACTGCTGGATTTAACTTGGACTTGCATTGTGAGAAATTCTTTGCCTCTCTCACTCCCCAACTTACTTCCCTAATAAACCTCACTCTTGGTAACACAACTTTAAGTTAAAGTCTGTGAGTCAACAATGAATATTAAACCCAGTGATTGGTGGAAATAGGTGAGGAGCATGGGGGGGGGGGTCTGACTAAGCAGCTACATATTTTCTGCTATGAATATTGTTAATAGGGACAGTTTGCCTTTATGAAGTGAGCAGAAGTCAGATGTGCCACCCTCACATTCCATCTACTCCTTAGACAACCTAATTATCTAATTTTCAAACTAAAAATAGTTCATATTCCCTTAACCTTTATATTCATTTTCATCAAACCACCATGATAATTTTTAAAAAGATATTACATATAGAGAATTATAGTGGATTTTTAAAGTAAAGTGATGATTAACTCTTGCATCATCCACCTACTTAAAAAACCCACTATGAAAAAAACCCCACAAAACCCATTATGGTTTCCTGTTAGTAACATTGCATAAATTGAGAAATGGCAGCCCATCTGTTAACATCACTGTGTTTGTTAGCATACAATACTTTGAATGCTCCTATTCACCAGGAGGATCACTACTTCCGACTCACTGGAAACCTGACTACTTCCACCTTAGATTCACCAGAAGCTTGACCTCTTTCTGTTGTTTATAAACTTGTTTCACATAATTCTTCATAATTTGTCTGATCCTTGAACTTTCTAGTCCTACTGGTGGCTTAGTGGGTAAGAATTTGCATGGCTAACCCAAAGGCAGGTAGTTCAAATCCACCAGCAGCTGCATGGAAGAAA